GTTGTTTATTATGAATTTTATGTTGTATAAACATTATAGGTCTATATATGTTTACTGTGTCAATAATTGATAGATATCGTATTGTGCATTTATGGACATTGTGTTATTCATTATTTACTTGCTTGTACATTTCACTTCAAGTTAAACTACATCCACCAAATGTGTTGTGCATTTATAAACATTGTATTAAGAATTCGTAGATCTCATGTTGTGCATATATATACATTCTGTTGAGACAAGGGTAATTGCATCTTTTCAAATACAATAAAATTTGCAAAGAAATGCCCTCAGGCTTGGGGTGAATATTTAGATTCTGTTAGATCCTAAATGCAAATTTTTGTTTTCTAGAGACCCTAAATCAGATTCTCTCATAAAAGAATGTTGACAAATAAATTAAAGCTTTTGTAGTTATTCATTATTAGCAGGGATAACAAATGTTTAATGACAGAGGGGTTAATAAATACTCTCTTGACACAATGATTGATGCTATCTTTGAGGTCATTCCAATAGCATTGTATGAAACTAGCATCACATGACCTTAAAATCATTATGTCAAGAGAGTATTCACTGACCCCTCTATCATTAATGAATCAATGACACCTTTATCACTCTTATCCTTAAAAATGAGAGCCTCACTTGCATGAAGGATTTTCGTCCGATATCTCTATGTAATGTAAGCTACAAAATTATCACCAAAATCCTCTCAAATAGAATGCAACAATGCATGAATCATTTGATTAGGGATAAATAATGTAGCTTTTTACAAGGAAGATAAAGAAGTGATAATATCATTATAGTTCAAAAGATCATCCACTCTATGAGAAAAAAGTTAGGAAGAAGGGATTCATCGCTCTTAAGATCGACCTTGAAAAAGCTTTCGACAAGCTCTCTTGGGATTTTATTAATGATACTCTTCATATTATCAGTCTCAATAAGAACTTCAGAAAGCTCATCATGACAGCCATCTCTACTACTCATATGAGAGTCTTATGGAATGGAGAACCTTCAAATGAAATTTCATCACCACGTGGCATTAGATAGAGAGATCATCTTTCTCCTTATCTCTTTATTCTTTGTATCGAATGTTTGAGTGATAGCATCTATAGTAGCATTGATAAAAATGAATGAAAACCCATTAGCCTAACAACTAATGGATCCCCTATCTCACATCTATTTTTTGCTGATGACTTATTTCTTTTTACAAAATCTTCACTCAAACAAGCGAGGATTATACAATGATGTCTTGCTAATTTCTGCAATGCATTAGGACAAAAAGTCAACAATACTAAATCCAAGCTATTTTGTTCCAAGAATGTCAATATCAATAGAGTCAATCAGATTAGTGAAGAAATGAGAATACCCTTGATTGGAAACCTTAGCAAATACTTAAGGATGCCTATTATTCATGAAAGAGTTTCTAAACTCACCTTCTCTCCTCTACTTGATAAAATTAACTCTTGTCTTTCCAATTAAAAGAGTCATTTTCTTAACACTGCTGGGAAGGCTATTCTTATTAAGTCCGTCCTTTCTTCTATTCCTAGTTATACTATGCAAACTATGCTCTTTCTTGATAATGTTATGACTGAAATGAAATCTTACTCCTATAATTTCCTTTGGGATTCAACAGACGGAACTAAAAAGCCCTATCTCTTATCTTGGGACTATATCACCAAGGATAAAAAATCATAGAGGTGTTGGCTTCAAAAATCTTAAAAGTCAAAATAAGGCCTATATTATGAAGCTCTATCAGGGAATCATAACAAAACCAAATAGTTTATGGATTTGTGTTTTTCGTGACAAATACAAATGCAATAACCCTATCATTCCCATGGTCTGTAAATCTAACTCTTGTTCTTATGTATGGTCCAGTATTTGCAAAGTCTGGGATCAATTTATATCTTATGTGACCTGGAAGGTAAGGAAGGGGAACCAAATATCTTTCTTGTATGACAAATGGTGTCCCCTACCTGAACCTTTAGTTAATTATGCTTCCCCTAATGCTGACTCGATTCTTTATAAAAAAGTGTCTGATTTTTGTACTGCTACAAGTAGTTGGAAGGTAGGACAGTTACACAGATATCTTCACCATGATATCATCAAACAAATCACCATTGTTCAACCTCCTAATCCTAACGTTGATGATAATGTTATCTGTTGGAGGCCCTCTAATGATGGCAATTTTACAATCAAATTTGCTTGTAAGACCATTGATAATCATTATGACACTTTTAGATCTAAAATTTGGTTCGTGATTTGTAAATGGCCAACATATGAGAAGATTAAAATGTTTCTTTCGAAAGTAGCTTGGGATCGTCTTTAACCTAAATTCACCTATTCTAATAGTGATAATTCCTGCCTTAGGACTTGTCCCTTTGGCTGTAACACATTGGACTCAACTGCTCATATCCTTAAAGATTGTGAGAAATCAAAAGAGGTTTGGAAAAAAATTAGTTAAATAGTCTATACTTAACACTTTCTTTTCTCTCCCTTTACAGTAATGGATACTTTAACATGCAAAGAATGATGTGAGCAAACCTTGTGCTAGAAAGATCTCCTGGCAAAGACTTTTCTCCCATGTGTACTAAAACATATGGAAAGAAAGATGTAAAATTATATATTCTGAGGAAGACACTCCTAACAAAGACATTACATTCATTAACATCCAAGATATTCTTAATGATCAATTCCTCCAATGAAAAATCAACTTCTTAACTCAAAAAAGCGATAGATTTAAAGCTAAATGGTTATCTCCTGAAGACGGATGGATCAGACTTGACATAGATAGCTCCACCAATAATCAAGGTGCAACTTCCTGTGACAGCCTCATTCAAGATGGGAAAGGCAATTGGATTAAAGGCTTCTCTAAATAGCTTGGTTACCACACAAGTACGGCAACAGAGTTTATGGGTATATTAAAAAGACTTAACATTTGCTAGGCGAAAAAATTTGATAAGGTTAATTTCTACTCTGACTCTATAGAAGCTCTCGCATTAATACGCAATAAATTCTCTACAAATCATCCCCTTACTGCAACCATCAATAAAATCAGAGATATCCTTATGAGAGATTGGATGATCACTTTTGATTATGTTTTTAGCGAAGCAAATAAATGCACGAATTGATTAGCTCACCAAGCTCCCATCAGAAGCCCTAGAGTTCATATTTTTAATACTCCGCCTCTTGTTTGTATAAATTTCTTGTACACTGATATGAGACATTGTATCACATAGCACAGTTTTCCCGTGGCCTATTATTAAAAAAACTGCATTTTTCATAAATAATCTTTTAAAAAATGTGGTTTTCCACATTTTCACCACTAACAATGATAATATTTAATAGCCCTTGGGTTAGGTTAAAAAAGCAAAAAAGAAAAAGACTAGTGCCTTAAATTATGGTTTAAATGAGTTTTTTTTTGGCTTAAATATACAAAAATTTTTGGACTTTGAAATAGTTGTGTACAATGCCCCTCACTTTTATAAGTTTAAAATTAATATCTCTAATCTTTTATTTTTTTATCATTGACTTTTCTATTGTTATTTCTTAATTATCTTACTAAAAAAAGTTGTCATCTTAATAGCAACTTATGTGATGTTCAATATAAGCTAATAATGGCTTTATAAAAATTTTATCCATAATTTTTTGTTATTATTAACTTATATTAAATGTCAAGTAAGCTGTTATGTGTTTTTTTTTATATGACATTTAGTAAGATAATTAAAAATAAAAAAATAAGAGGATTATACGTAATTACCTCAAAATTTGGGAGAAATTTGTGTATTTTAGTTTTTTTTTTCCTTTTTGGGAGGGGGGATAAAATGATTTGCTATTTGCCAGCTTGCACGTGATGGCTGGTAATATCTGAATCTAGATTCGCCAATTGTATTATATGGATAATATTTATGCTCTTTTGAAATAATACAATCCCTAAAATATAAATTGATGATTGGTGGACGATAAAATATTCTTTTTTTTTTTTTGTTTGCATAATTCGAGTTGCAAGACTGAGCCCAAGGTGTAGAAGAGTGTTTTGAGTTTTTTTCCCCCAGAAGGACAAAAAACTCTGCAAAATATTTGTACCACAGATTGTATTTAGACAGAAGAGGGGACCACATGCACCAAACCAGATACCGACGTTCATGATATGCATACTTTTTCAAACTTTATAAAGTTGAACCCAACATGGTCCAAAGTTACGCAGTTGATAAGATTATGAGCCCTGGAAACCAATGATTAATCTTCATTCTCCATTGGGATTTCATACCCCCTTTTACAATAAAATTTTTTTAATGTGAGTTAATGTCTTCATTAACATTTTTTAGTCTATTTGATTCAAAATATAAGACATTAACTGGCTTTTATAATTTTTTAATTATTCCTTACTTTATTTATTATTTCTTCTGAATTTTCACTGTCATTATAAGATACTTATATAAAATATTTAATTAAAGTATAACTAAAAAAATATAATTTTTTAAAAGATCAAGATTTTAACGAACTTTCTGTGAAAATAGTGATGTGATTATCAATATCTTATACTATAAACCGAGAGATAGTATAACAGTAATTTTATAAACCATTCCCATACCACCAAAGAACTTATTTTGAATTCAGTCCGATATATCATTTAACAAGAAAACAAGATAAAGCAAATCCATCAATATGGTGCATGGTAGAAATATAGGTACAGTCTGTTTTTATAACGCGACATCATATCTTTACATGTTGTCATGTAGCCCCAAGAATTTTTTATGCATAAAATCAATGTTATAATATAAGCAAGTGAATGGTCTCGAAGGTCCTTTTTTTTTTTGGGCATTGTAGATTGAGCCCAGGGCGTGTGTGACCCTAATTTTAAGAAGAAAAAAAAAATAAAGAAAAGGAAGCCTGAAATCTTCTTTTGTTGAAAAAAGCAAGATTCCAACACCAGTAAAGATGCAAAAGTGAATGAACAATCGACAAACTTATCAATAAATAAAAGTTGAGATGAGAGAGGTAAGTGGACGAAAGCTGGTTGAGATGCTGAAATCTAACAAGCAGTTAATTTTTACCAATCACTCAAATTTCTTAAATGCAAATTGTTAGTTTGTCTTCCTGGCTTCAATGGGTGTATTTTCTCTTCTGATTATACTTATATTTTATCTTTTAATATCATCTGCAGTATGCCAAGTTCAAGGTATGTCTGTGTATTCTGTAGCTTCAGATTTCAGTTTCAGCTGAAGAAATCTTGCATGCTTAAACTTCAATTTATTCACGAATCACACCGACACAGAAACCCAAAGTAGAAGCTGCATAATCTTGGAAAATCATGCCATGTAATGCTACTAAAAAGAAAAGAGGACCTTCATTGGGTTTTAAATCTGTGCAATAATTGGATTTTATGCAGAGTTCATCAGCATAGACTGTGGAGGAAGTGGTAATTACACTGATAAAAGCACAGGGTTGGCATGGATTTCAGACTATGGGATTATGAACCATGGCACTCCAGTGGAAGTAGAAGGTCCGAATGGAAACAGGATACAGTATCAGAAACGCAGAGACTTTCCCATAGACAACAGGAAATACTGTTACACGCTAAACACCGAGGAGAGAAGAAGATACCTGGTGCGAGCAACGTTTCAGTATGGAAATTTGAAAAGTGGAGACACATACCCTCAGTTTCAGCTCTACTTGGATGCAACCAAATGGGCTACTGTGTCAATATACGATGCCTCAAGAATTTATGTGAAGGAAATGATTATCAGGGCACCTTCAAACTCTATTGATGTGTGCATGTGTTGTGCTACCACTGGTTCACCATTCATTTCAACTCTAGAGCTAAGGCCCTTGAATCAATCTATGTATGCTACGGATTTTGAAGACGATTTCTTCTTAAAAGTTGCTGCAAGAATCAATTTTGGTGCTTCTAGTGAGGATGCTATCAGGTTTAGATATTCTATATCTGCTCGAAGAATTTTAAAATTGGACCTGAAATGATAGATAGGAGGAGAAACTAAATCAATCACTTGAACCAGAGCTAGTTTTATTGGAAAATATCCGGATGAGTGATGTAATCAATTTAAATTAATCTCTTTTTTTTTTTATCGATAAATTTCAGGTATCCTGATGACCCCTATGATAGAATTTGGGAATCAGATCTTGTTAAAAGGCAAAACTATCTTGTTGGAGTGGCCCCAGGCACAGAAAGGATTAATACAACAAAGAACATAGAGATAGGAACAAGAGAATACCCACCTGTTAAAGTTATGCAAACTGCAGTTGTTGGCACAAAAGGGTTACTCAGCTACAGAATTAATCTGGAAGACTTCCCTGCCAATGCTCGAGCTTATGCATTTTTCGCAGAGATTGAAGATCTGGGTAAGAATGAGACCCGAAAATTCAAATTGGAGCAACCCTTTATTCCTGACTATAGCAATGCAGTGGTTAACATTGCTGAGAATGCCAATGGAAGCTGCACTCTTTATGAGCCTAGTTACATGAATGTGACTCTGGATTTTGTTCTGTCATTCTCCTTTGTTAAGACCCGGGATTCTACTCGAGGGCCACTTCTGAATGCAATGGAAATAAGCAAATACCAACGGATTGCTTTAAAGACTGACAGGCAAGATTGTAAGTCATTACAGTCAGTATGTATCCGTGAAAATTTTCATCTTTTGGCTGGGGTACAACATTAGTTTATATGGATGGGTAATTAAGTCTTGATGAAATTGTATGAATAACTTCCAACATTTACATTGCTGTATCGAGTAAAACTGATTGCTGACCTTTTCATCGTTTTTCAGTGACTGTTGTAAATGAATTTTCCTCCATGTCCGTAGAAAGTGTCCAGAAGAACGAAGGTGATCCTTGTGTTCCAACTCCCTGGGAGTGGGTAAATTGTAGTGCTGCCACGCTTCCAAGAATCACAAAAATGTAATTACTCCCTACTTTTTCATTGTCAAGTCTATTTCATGTCAGTATCATTGCCGCTGCACTAATCAGACATTCCATAGCATTTCTTAGAACACATAAGAATATTGACTTCTAACCTGCATCAAAAAAGAGTTGCTTTCCAAGAATTTGAGATGCTGGGATAAATTTTGTTTAGGATTAACTAGACACATTTGAGATTCAAAGAGAACTTTCCATTTGAAATATATGCTAGACGTTTAAGCTGTAATCATTTTTACTAACTCTAGTTATTTGTGTTAGAAACCTGTCAAGAAGGAATGTTACGGGCACAATCCCGTCTGACATTAACAACATGGAAGAATTGACGGAGTTGTAAGTAATGAATAACTTTTTCGACAGTAAATTTCTCAAATTATACGCTGATATAATTTCTTTGGTGATGTGTTCTGGTTTTCTTAGGTGGTTGGATGGAAACTTGATTACAGGGTCACTGCCTGACATAGGCAATCTTATCCATCTAAAGATTGTGTAAGTTATTCAGTTTCCTGAATAACTTATTTTAGAGTGTTCTGTAGGAACTGGTTTTTCCAAATTCTTGAAGTGAAAAACAATTTTTTTCCCTTGACTTCAATTTTGCAATCAATGACTTGCAGGCATCTAGAGAACAACCAATTGAGTGGTCCATTACCTTCTTACCTGGGTAGTTTGCCAAGCTTAGAAGCACTGTATGTAGTAATCTTATTTCATCAATGTTAGAAACCTGAGATTCCAGGAAAAATGAGACATTTCAGTGCATTTCTTCTCTATGTCCATTGATTATGCATCATTTGTCAAATTGTGTCAGGTTCATACAAAATAACTCGTTTACTGGGGAAATACCAGCAGGATTAGTATCTGGAAAAATCATTTTCAAGTAAGTGTGCCTACAACAGCATATATTTCTAATATTGAAGTAAATTTCGATTAGATGCTAAACATTTGACAGGAATATCAGTATGAACATAATAAAGTACCGTAGAAAGTAATGGTCAACTTGTTTTCTCTTCCAGCTATGATGGTAATCCTGGACTGCATAGAGGGACCAAGAAACACTTCAAGTTGATACTGGGAAGTTCAATAGGAGTTCTTGTGATTCTATTGATATTATTTTTAGGAAGTTTGATGCTAATGCATAATCTTCGAAGGGCATCTCAACATAAATGTAATGAAAATGGTTAGTCAATGAAGTCAAATCTAGTAACTTTAACCAGATAGAGAAGCTAACTTTTCCAACTGAGATTTCTTGTGCCCATCAGGTATCTCTGGACGCAGTATAACTAAACCTATAGGTCCATACTCACTTGTTCGGGGAGGGAGTCTAATGGATGAAGGTATTGCATGCTACATTGGGCTCTCACACTTGAAAGAAGCTACTAACGATTTTGCAAAGAAAATCGGCAAAGGAAGCTTCGGATCTGTCTACTATGGAAAAATGAAAGATGGAAAAGAAGTGGCTGTTAAAATTATGAGTGATTCATCCACCTATGGGAACCATCAATTTGTGACTGAGGTAGTGTTCAAATTCAACCCTTTAAGAACTTTTATATTTAATCAAATCCCGAAAGAAAACTTTTTTTTTACTGCACATTCAGTAGAATTTGTTCTCAGTTATTAATCATCACAATTAAGAAGATACATCTTCAATCAAAAAAATCAGATGCTTTCATTCCATTAGCACAGCATTTTGCATAGTTAAAATGTAAATATTGCACTGCTATAACAGTATTAGGTTTTTATTGGTCTCCCAGGTGAGGTCAAGTTGCAGAAGATCCACTTTAAAGCATACATTTCATCATCACTAGCTAAGAAAAACTATAAGAATTTTAATAAAAGCTTTCTTAATTAATTGATTGAAAAATCACAAATTCAGGTTGCCCTTCTGTCCCGAATTCATCACAGAAACTTGGTTCCTTTGATTGGATATTGTGAAGAAGAATGTCAGCGAATTCTGGTTTACGAGTATATGCACAATGGCACCTTGCGCGATCACATTCATGGTCTAATCCCTCACCCTTGTATTCATTTATATGCTTGGCAGTAAAATATTATTTCATGAAAATAAATTTCCTAGTTCTTGACAGATTCTGCTAAGAAGAAAAACTTGGACTGGTTAAGTCGTCTTCGTATAGCAGAAGATGCAGCCAAAGGTTAGTTTCTGACCACCATCTTGGTCCACAAGTAATTATACAATTTGCATCCTCTTGATTTCTTTTTTGAAAATGAATTTGAAGAAGTGCTATACAAGCAGAAAATCACACAACAATTTTCGATCCCTGTAGGTCTTGAATACTTACATACAGGATGCAATCCGAGTATCATACACCGAGACGTGAAGACCAGCAATATTCTCCTAGACATCAACATGAGAGCAAAAGTGTCAGATTTTGGACTCTCAAGATTAGCTGAAGAAGATTTAACTCATATATCAAGTATTGCAAGGGGAACTGTAGGCTACTTGGATCCTGAGTAAGTAATTATGGGTCTGGTCCTGTGTTGTCCGTGATCATCATATTGTTCTTCTCCTTCACGTGCTAAGCTCAGTCGGTAAATTTGTCCAACAGGTACTATGCGACTCAGCAATTGACAGAGAAGAGTGACGTATACAGCTTTGGAGTTGTACTTTTTGAACTGATCGCCGGAAGAAAGCCTGTGTCATCAGAAGATTACGGTGCCGAAATGAATATTGTTCACTGGGTATGTTTGGAAAATCATGCCAAAACACCATAATTGCCAGTCTCATTATTTTCAATATATCAGTATAAAATGTAGAATTTACAGTGAATCATTCGGCTTATTCATAAAGAGTGTATAGAATGCACGAAAAATCATGACAGTGTAAGATTCAGTTCAGCAAAATCAGCGGGAACACTAAACGTCGTTGAATTGGATTGCAGGCAAGATCCTTAATACGCAAAGGCGATGTGATGAGTATCATGGATCCTTGTTTAGTAGGGAACGTGAAAATGGAATCGATTTGGAGGGTTGCTGAAATCGCGATGCAATGCGTTGAACAACACGGGGCGTGCAGGCCGAGGATGCAAGAGATCATACTGGCAATACAAGAAGCAGTCAAAATTGAGAAAGGAACAAACAGCGATATGAAATTATCATCCTCAGGTAGTTCGAAGGCTCAAACTTCGAGAAAAACTCTACTCACAAGCTTCCTTGAAATTGAGACCCCTGACTTGTCTAATGGTTGCCTCCCTACCGCAAGGTAATTAGAATGTAGTTTTTGGTCTGGGTTTGTGAATATCTTCTGAAAGAATGTTTATGAGAATGATGAATGATACACTTGCATATGCCTACACGATAGTAACTGTGGAGAGGATAATGATGAGAAATAACAACGTCTACAAATTTCAGTGTTTTCTGAATTGACAGATTTTGCTTCCATGGCTCCATTGAAACTAGAGCTTAGAGCTTGAGTCCTCGATAGCAATGATAAATAAGCTAAACTCGTTCAACTCAACGTCAGATCATTTGTGGTCATATAATGTATTTGACGAATGTATATAATCAAATAACGATCAAGCGAACTAACAAATTCACTGATAACTTTAATTAAATAAAAGAAAAGTATATAATTTTATTTATTTAATTCTATAAAAGCCTACTCATAAAGAAAGTGTAATCATATATTATTTTATTGTTATAACTTCTTTACAATCATTTTATCAAACCATTTGCGCGAATTGCCATTCACTTGTGTTCCATCTAATTGATTATATTATTATTGTATATAATTATTTTTATAATTTATTAATGAAAATTGAGTCTAATGGAAGGACTAATCTCTTATACCATGACAAATTAATATGATTTAAATTTTTATTGAAAAATATGTCTATAATTAAAATTCCTTACTAATTAAGGATCAAAATGAAGGTGGGCTTCCTAAGTTCCTCCCTGGCACAAATCTCTTACAAACTACATCTATTTAATTAATGGAATTAAGTTTACCGGAATGGGCTAATTCCTCATGACTTAGTAAAATAAGGTTTAAATTTTTACAAAGAAAAGTACTTATATTTATATATAACAGTACTTTGAATAAGATTAAGTTTGTTTCACCCTTCAAGACGTATACAATCTTTCACAACATTAGCTTTTTTTTTTTCGTGTTTTTTTTATGTCCATCCAATATAAAGAATTGTAACGTTATTTTTTAAAAAACTTTTCTCCTTCATTTTCTTTTCCTCTAGATTTTTCTCCACATCCAAACCGATAACAAGAGGGTTCTTCATAATCAAATTCCACAATAACATCACTGACATGTAAAAAAAAAAAAAATGAAACCATCTAGATTCATTTCTGAAGTGCAAATGACTATCATAATTAAAATTTTAGCATCAGGACTCCAAAATTTCTCTATATCATCCTAAGCCATTTCCATTGTAAATGCTACTTCTTCTCATTGCTGTACCATTTAAAGTAATGACTATGTTGGATAAGGTATCAAGTCCCACGTTAAGTAAGAGTAGAAGCATTATAAGTGCAAACAAGCATTATGAAGCAACATAGTTTTGGATGGCATTATGAAGCAACATAGTTTTGGATGAAAAGTATACGAAGAATTTCAATATTATGTAATAAATGTTTCATCTGCACGTGGCGCAAGTGTGACCGTTGGATTGGAATGGATGTTAATTTGGTTTATTGTTCATATTACGTATCATTGAATTGGAATAAAGGACAGTTAAGTTAAACTTAGTAAAATCAAATTTAAATTTCCAACAGCTAGAAATGATTAATATACTTGTCCATGATGGCTATCAATCATGATTAATTCCAAGAAATGTGCTTATTTTCTTGTTATATACTTACTCTGATTTTATTTATAAAATAGAGAGAGAAGATTTTTTTTGTCTTATTTATAAGCCACTTCATTAAATTTTTATTGTGAATTTCTTCATTTAACCTTTATTGAATGTTGGAGAAAAAAAATACATTGTTAAAATATATATATTTAATAGGGACAAAATCAAAAAATTATTAAATTTTTAGATAAAATTAACGAGTTTTAATGTTTTTTTTAGTTATGGTGAAACATGTTGAAATTGCCTTTAAATAGGACCAGATTAGCATGAGAGGTCACCAGATTATGACAGCACAAGCAATTAAAATTGGTGCTTCCTGTTCTCTCCTTGAACACATTCATTTGATATGACTCAGAAATCATAAACTGTTATTTTTGAATTAGTGGAAATTTATATTTACATTTAAACCAAATCTACTATTAATTTATGGATTAGATTTATCCAAATTTTATTGCAATTTCTTTAAAATTTCAATTCTTAATCTAGCTTTAGTTATTTCAAATCTCAACTTAATCATCCTTTTTCTCAATTTTTTTTTTTGGAATGAAAAGAGTTTTGTAGTCAGAAAAAGATTAAAAACTAGTCAAGTCTATCATGCATACGCTTTCATCATTCAGCCTCCAACTTAATACGTTATGACGAGAGTTGATCAAAAAATAATGTAATGTGACAAAATCATTAGCGGCCAACAAATGGCACAACTGCTAACCTCTCCAATTTGATCATTTATATTAATTTTTTAATAAAAAAAGTCTCTAAAAATTTTAAAAAAAAATTATAATATTTTGAGAAATTAAAAATATTATTTATATAATTTAAAAGATATTATTATTATTTTTCTAATTTAACGTATATTTGACCTGTATTTTCATAGATTGCGTATTTGGAGAACCCCAACTCTATTAAGTAAAATGCTTGATTTTTTTTTTTAATGGCATGTCCGAAACCTAACTGGCGTGCCTAATTATAATATTATGAAAATATGGCTATTAAATGAAAATAAATTATTGCTTGTTTATCCAAAGTACTGGCCACATATTTAATTATTTATTTAGGTGGCCAACAACTGTCTCATATACGCTTCCTGAATGAGATTATAAATATTAGTCATAATTAAGAATCTGTTGGCACAATAAAAAATAAAATAAAATAAAATAAACCGAGGATGAGAATCAAAATGATTGTTGACATTTATACCTTTCTAGTTACACAGTCACAAACTCCCTTTTACTTATTTTTTAAAATTTATTTCTATATATTTGGTTAGTTTTTATGTGGTCATCAATAACAATCATTCTCTATCCAAGTCAATCAACAGTATTATAGCTATCCATCTATTATTTATAAATTTCTGATCTGTTTTTTTTTCACCATATTTGTGAACTCATCTAATGTTCTTTATATTTCAAAATTTCTCACATAATATGAACTTAAGATGAGTGGAGTTTTTTTTTTTTTGAAAAAATATAAGGTAAAAAAGTAAATTGATTTCTAAATTATAAGTTTTATAACATTTAGGACTTTAATTCATTTTTTATGCAACATATCCTTTTAACTTTGAGAACAACCCAATTTAGCTCATATCATTGACAATAGTTAATTTTGACTGTTAGTTAATTAAAAAATAACATAAAAGGATCTCAAAATTATAAAAAAAGACCAATAAAATTTTTTATCCTCTCTTGTGATTTTTGAATCTTTACATGTAATTTTGGATCTTATACTGTAATGTTTTGGTTCTTTTCTATAATTTTGTGGTCTTTTTATGTCATTTTTGGTGAATTAATAGTAGGATTTAGATTGCACTATTTTAAAAAATGGAAGGAAGACATTACACAAAAAAAGAGTTTAGGGTTTAGAAATTAGGGGTCATTTTACTCTTTTACACAAAAATATAAATATATTAATGGAGATTTTATTTTTATGTCTCTGGGAAAAACAATTTTTCATATTTTTTTGGTTTGAAAGATTGCATTTCTTTTTAATTTAAATGAAATATCATTTCAATATTTTAATTTTATTTGAAAATAATTTTCATTGTCAAAATTTTGATCATTATTCTTTGACATAATGCACAAATATTTAAAACAATTTAATTTTTAAATAGTTTAGCCGGTGGGAAATTTTTTATTATATCAGGAAAGTTAGAATATTTAGCAAGGTAGAAAGTTTGATCATCATTTGATTAAAATATTATTATTTTAACTGTTTTACTATCTTTTACAGATTCACTTCATCCATAGATATCCGGAATTAAAAAAGGGCTAAAATACAGGTAATACTCTGTCGGAATCTTAAAGTTACCATCAATCAATTATTTTGGACAAAATAAAAATTATAAAGTAACAATTACTTTAAAATGTAAGAAAATATTTCTAATAGTAGGTAGAAAAATAGTAAAAAAAATATTTTAGTAAAACGTAGTTAAAAAACCTTTATCAATTGATTTATATCGTCAATAACTTTTCTGACATTTATACATATATCGTACGTTAGCAATGAGTATTTTAAAATTTAAAACTAATTCCAAAGTTTTCAAAAACAGCTGCTTTCACGTGCGGAATTCAATTAATTAATTACACTGGCCAAAAAAAAATTGATTACCAAAAAATTAAGTCAATTAATTAAGTGATTATTGATTAATAGATAGCGGGCCACTAGAAATTGGATAAACTTAAAGCAAATGATCGATTATTGATTGATCCGCCAGCACATTTTTTTAATAAATAAAAATATGAATTCCAACTCATCATCAATTCCATTCCATAACCTATTTAACTGATGAATGATTATGTACGAGAAATCTCTCTGTCTTACGTTCTGTTTTTTTATTTTATTTCTCATTAAGACTTAGAACTTATAACTAATTTAATAATTTCAAATATTTTAATTTCCATAGTAAGGAGAAGATGCATATGTAACATATGTGCCTCATGAGTTTTATTTTGTTTTTTAATTTAATTAAAATATGTCCATCTATTGTATGAAAAACCGGATCGAACCGGCATGGTCAACTTGTGAATTGACCTCTCTATCAATCTAGTTTTTCATCTAACCCAATGAAGACATAACCCAGTGTAACTTGGGATAATCTGACAATTAGCTAAGTTGATCAGGCTGCTTATTTGGGGTTTAAAAAAATTAAAAAAACTAAAAATTGTAAAACTGAACTCAATTTTAAAAGTCGAATGCCTGCAATCAATTTCAAATTCTCACCAGTCATCTCTAGCCCTAGCTCAAGTTGATCGTTACTCTCTTTGGCCTTGGTTGGTGAATCCTCAATCGTCGGCTATCATCATTGTCCTCTCTACCATTGTCGCTCTCCTGGTTTGAACTTGTTTTGTTGACCATCACTTTCTTGGTTCGAACTCTATCTTGCCTTGTTGATCGTTCATCTCATCATGGTGTCAAGTTTTGGTGTTAGTTTCTTGTTGGTGCCCACTGTCTTCATCTCGTTGTTGGAGTTGATTCAATTTTTGGGAGAGACACAGAAGAAAAGAACAAGGAGGAGAAGAAAGCAACTGAAACTGGCAAAATATCTCCACAAATGCACAGTTTCCCCACTTTTCTTAGATGATGTGATTTTTAAATTTTGATTTTGATATTATCAAATATATGTTGATAAGTATATCTTAATAACTAATCAGATTTTAATATTATATATTTTATTTAGTGTATCAGGTCATTTATTTTAATATTTTTTATTTTCAATTATATTTTAATTTTTTTTATTTTTTAGTTCTCCAGATTCCAAATTCATATTTATGTTATCATTATTAATTTTTTTTACTATTTAATTGTTTTTATTTTTATTATCATGATTTTTTAAATAAATATTATAATTTTATATTAAATTTCTGTTAGGTTGTTCAAGCTAAACTATTTAACTTATTATTGTGATTATGGCGACATGTATAAGATTTTATGGATAATTGAGAATTAATGATTTTTATTTTGATATTTTTTTTATATAAATATGAATATTTTTGTGTATATAAATTAAATTAAATTAAATTATTTTAATTAAGATCGGTTTGACTTTAGATTGACCCCCGATTGAACTATTAACTTGAAATTCATTGTCTTGATCAATTCAATGACTGATCTAATTTTAAATACCTAATGTACATCTGTAAACTAATTGATTTCATATGGTATTAATTGGATTTCCATTCACTTGCATGCCTTTTTTTTTTTAATTGACCATAGGCATAATTCTATTTGAAGTACGGTATTAAATGTAGAAATTTTTTTTAATGAGAATTTAAATTTTGATTTATCATATTATAAGTGATAAGGTTCATCCATTAGACTTAACTCCTGTTGATCACTTGCATGTTTTTATTTAATTTGTTTAATTAATGTAGTATATTTACTCATCAAATTGGACAAATATCTAATGTTCTGATATCAGCCTCTGTATTATTGTATCGTTAAAGCATGGAATGCAATTAAATACAAGCATATACTCTCTCAAAAAATAAATAAATAAATAAATAAATAACAACCATTAAAAACGAGAATCTATCCTCATCAATCATTACACACACACACACGCACATCACGCGCATATTAAGTTTGTTTAATACTAGCTTGAATTTAATTTTTTTTTTTTTTTAATGAAAGCGGTGTTAGATTCAAATGAGTGGATGTTCAATATTATTAGAAGGTGGTTAAAAGTTGGACGGAGTAGACGCTTCTAATTTATTGATTTTCTTTGTTAATTAATAAGTTTAATTTTAATACTCTCTCCGTTCTACTAATTCATAAGATATTTTTTTTAAAAAAATCACATATATTAAAATTTTTTATTAAATATACTTTGCAATCTTATTTTTTAAAAATAAAATATAAATTTTAAAAATTATTCTTCATTTGAATTCCTCTTTGTGAAATGTTATTAAAGAAAAAGAATATAATGAAAAATATAATATAAAAAAAGTATTATAAATAAAATTTTATTTTTATCAAACTGTCTTATATTTTAAAATGTTAAAATTTTTAAAATTATTTTATAATTTAAAATGAAAGTAGTATATAATGTCAAGTATGTTAGTATTATAATTTCTTGTGAAACTAAGAAAATATCCCACCATACTAAAAAAAACGCAACTTTTAGTTTCTATATTTGAAAGAGTTATTGATTCTTAAATTTATTTTCTATCATTTTAGTTTTTAATGTTTACTTCAGTTATTAAATTAGTCTTTTAAGTTTTGCAAGACAAATTAACATTAAAAAAAAAAAGATGACGAGTAAATTGGGCTGCCGATGTAGAATATATATACATGGATTAATTATTACACTTACACACATAAGCCAAATCTCCTGCTTTTAACTGCTGAGATATCATTAATTTTACTATTTTATAGCTCAAATTTAGGGTGCGTTTGGTTTTCCTCCGTTTCGCGTTCAGAAAGTAAAATTTTACTTTCAAAAAGTTGAAAGTTATTTGGGTAAAATATTTGATAGAAAAGCACATCCTGAAAGTACATTCAAACAGTAGTTGAAAGTGGATTTCTGAAACGTAACTGTCTGAAGCTTTTGAAAAGTGGATTTGAAAAGTAGGATGTTATTTGACCATACTACCCTAAGTTTAATCTCTTATTTTTTATTTAAAAAATAGTTAATTCATTAAAAATATAATTATTATTTTAATAATAATAATTAGGTATCAATTTTTTTAGTATTATAAATTAAGTAATTAATCATGTTAATTTTTAGCATTAATGTATAATAAAAATTACAAATCTTTATTACATCTTTTAAAATTACAAATTAAAAAATACAAATAATTAAAGATCAAATTTTTAGCATTATAGATCAAAATTTATGTTATTTATAATCTTTATTATATTTTTTAAATATTTTGAATATATTATATTTATATAATAAAAATTATAAATCATTATAAATCAATGTCCTTTTTGATAATTGTACATTCAAAAGCACATTTCACTATGACAAACCAAACAACTTTCAATGTATCAAACTGACTTTTAAAAAAATATATCCAAACACAAATTTCGTTACAACAACTGACTTTCATTAAACTGACTTTCTCCAAATGAACTTTCACCAAATGAACTTTTGGCAAACTGAAAACCAAACGCACACTTAATCTGCATGGCTTTTTTCCCCCTTTTATCCAAATTATTATTCTTGCTTCCCATATTATTAATTTACATGGATGCTATATCATCATTTCGTTAGCTATGTCAGTGTAACTTAACATTGTTAATTTCTCTCATAATATTAAGGTCTCCATTAATAAATTCTTAAAATATGGAAATTAAATTTAAGAGATCAAATCTATAAATCTTTTACCTATGAGGTACTTGGCATTATCCCCTAAAAAATAGGAAACATATGCATTTTATAATTCAACACCAGAATAGGAAGGAAATCAGTCAATAAATTATTATTATATTATATTATATATATCAAAAGAGGTTGGAGAGGAAAAATTAAATTTTTATAGACATGAAAGAAAGTGGATATGTATTCTCATGATTAAGAAATTAGTTGGCCTTTAGAAAGAATTATATGTATATGTAATTATGTACACAACTAATATGGCGATTGAGTGTTGTGCACTGGATGATTTATAAATAAAACAAGTTGCTAGAATTTTCATGTTACAATACTTCCTGCTTTAAAATTATAAGACATTTTTATAAATATTATGCATAAAAATATAAGGAATTTTGACATTTTACTAAGACTAATTGAGAGATTTCCTCCAAAATTGCTGTTGTGGAGTATTTAAAATTAATGAAATTTTTATATTTATTTGTAATTAAGTTATCTTTTCTTATCTTATTAAATAACAAAAACTTGAAAAAATATATGGCTTTTTTTATACTATTAATTGTTTTCTTGAAAGTAGGAATTAGTTAAAAATGTTTTACAATTTGGACTACAGAGCATAGATTAATTATATGATACTCCCACCATTTAAAAATGTAAAATATTTTTTTAAGGAGTTGGATATTAAAAAATATAAGAGATTTCTAGTCTTTTAAAGTGTAATCATTACTTTTTTTTTTTAAGTATCCCTATTGATAATGACTTTATATTTATTGTAGGGTGTTTAATAAGAATTAATATAAAATAATATGATTAATTAAAAATAAATAATTATTTTATTGAGAGGTAAGATTTAATTAAAAATGCGTTAGATTTATAAACAGAGGGAGCATCTACCTTTTATTGTCATTATTAAAGATTGCTCCAATAAGGGTAATATTTTAAATATGTTTTTTATTCATAAGATTTTGACTCTCAATCTTATTTAAGAAAATAGGTCATTTTTACTCTACTCAACTATAATAAATAATTTATAATTTAAATTAAATTTATAATTATATTATAATGATATTGATAAGAAAGGAACATAGAATAGAAACTTAACCAACTCAAAAGAGACAATACAGTAGGAACTATAATTAAATCAGAATCCACGGCGCTAACCCACCCGAAATTATATTTTATATTTTTAATTTTTTATATGCCTTAGTTCTCATTTTACCATTCAGATTCAGGTCAAAAAAATTCTGTTTTTCCTACCCATTTCTTAACGTTGAGGGTTTCTATTTAAAAAACAAAAATTATATAAAAAATCAATATTTGACCTTCTTATTTTATACAAGATTTAATTTAATTTGAACCATTAATTTCATAAAATATATTTTTCACTAATCATTATTATTTTTTAAAAAATAAACTTAATATATCAATAGTTAAAAAATTTTAGATTTAGAAGAAGATTGAAAAAATATTTTATAAAATTGAAAAATTATAATAAAATCTTTCAAGAAGTATAAAAAATGAAAAGTGAATTTTTTAAAATGGGATTATATATTTTCTTAAAATAAGAATATACGGTGCTAAGCTTCCCAACAAATCCAAGTTATCGTCTCGTAAGTCTCGTCTCGTCACTCTATATTCGTTCTTCTACGGCAATACATACCCTTAGCCGTTTCGTCTTCGCCATCCCCACAAGAGTTATATCCAGAGCCGCCCTTCGGATCCTGAAGCAGCAAAGGTTGAAGAAAGAGAAAGCCCCTTTCGTTCCTTCGCCGATTCCTTTCTCTCTTTCTTTGTATTTTCCTTCTTTCTCTCTCCTGTTTCTGCTTTTCGCTGGAACATTATCCTTCTCTGCTTTGAAAACCCCACCACGTCTGCTGCTTTTCTAAGCCATCTTCTTCACCTAATTGCTCTCCAGTTGATTTTTCTTCATCCCCCACAAAAAGTTTTGGGAAAGATGGAAATGATGCCATACCAGCTTTCCCGATTACCTTACCAGGATTCCCTCAAAGTGCTTGAGGCTGATATTCAGCATGCCAATGCTTTGTAAGTTCAATTTAATTTCCCTTCTTCTCTTTGTTCTTTTTTTGTTTTTCTGATGATCGTGTTAATTTTGGAAAAGACTGAGGTTTGTAAGTTGGGTTCTTGTTCGTTTTAGCAGTTTTTGATCATTGTCGTTGGGAAGTTGAATTAGTCATTGCGATCAGTACCGTGGTTGATACGCTACTCGCTTTTGATTATTTTGGTTGTTCTAAACCCTGAGACGCATATGAAAGCCTTTTCGTTTGTAATTCGTCGTTTGTGGCTATTCCAACTTAAAAAGTCGATTAAATTCAACCGTATAAATGAACTCCTTCGTCGAATTTGCAGCTCATAGCCCTAATTTTATAGTCATATTGCTTGGGGGCAGTTTTTCCTCCCTCTAAATTTGGATTCTGGGTCTGTACTCTGTAGGGCTGCTGCGATTCCCAGAACCAAGGGTGGGACTCTTCTTCAAATGAAATTGGTTTACAATGACTGGGCTCCACTCTTTTTCTTCTTGCTACAGTGGATGGATTGCTCTTGCTCTTGCTTTCTTCACAGATATCTGAGTCTCTTTCATGTGCTTATCTATAAGGTAAGCTTCATTTATTGTTAGCTAGAGGAAACATGGATGATGAACATGACACTGACAAGGACAAGCACACCATCACCTGATAAAATCTAAAGTGTATGTTTGTAAATTTTGTTTTTGGTGAAAGTGTATATTTGTAATTTAAAGTGATGGACACAAGTGTTGGATATGTTTTAGACATATACAGGGCTTCTTTTGAGAAATTTGGTTGTGTATTGATCCATTGTGTTCTATTCTGGGAGAGGTTTGCTAGAGTCTTATTCCTCATGGCTCTCCTATTTTTACTTATAATAGGTTCACAAAGAGGGAAGATCAAACATATCTACTTATGGAAGAAAGGCTACCATCAGGGACTTTTATGGTGTGTGAGTTATGGACTTCCGAAAAGGAACTTTATTTTATCTTACAAAAAGAAAAAATGATTGATTGTGATGTCTTTACTAATTATATCTCGTTTTGTTTGTGTCATCCAAATTTGAATTTTAGCCGTTATATTACCATCTCTCCAGCGGCTTCATGGGAGCTTGGAGAAGTTGGAAATTTCTAAGGAAGGTTATTCTAGCATAGAAGGTTCAAGTTCTAAGAGGAAGATGATTGAAGCAGATGGGAGACTAAGCAGTGTGGACCTTGAGAGAGAGGATGAATGTGGAATTTGCTTGGAACCTTGCACCAAAATGGTTTTGCCTAATTGCTGCCATGCCATGTGTATTAAATGCTACCGCAAGTGGTAAGCGCATTATGTTCTATCTTAACCTGCAAGACGTTCTTTTAGTTTTAGTTTGTGTTTACTTCTCTGTTTATCACACATGATTCCAAAGAATCCACCATGTGAAATTCTAATTTGCAATGTTATCTAAACTAATTGGTTCGACCAGTGGAAACTGGCCTGTGCTCCTATCCGGTCATCCCCCTGGACTGGGAAGAAAGAGAACTAGTCAAGAACTGGTGAAAACTGGTTAGAACCAGTTTTCAGTTTTGAGGGAATGCATTTTTTAGTCTTCTGAAAATTTTTGAACTCTGATAGTTGGCTTTGGTCAATCTTGAACAGGAGCAGACAAGGCAATTGTATTTGTTCCAAAAGACTAATGAACAGCAAGTAAACAATTTCCAGGGATTGAATTGTGTGTATGAATGATATTCAGGATCAAATAATCAATTTTTTTATCGTTTATAAGCTGTGAGTGGTTATATTTCATTTCTCCCACCATGTGTAATGTATAGGAAAACATGTTGAGTCGTCTGTACGCAAAATGTGTTTTGAATTTTACGCTCTTTTATGTTCTTGCAGGAACACAAGGTCAGAGTCTTGTCCGTTTTGCCGCGGTAGCTTGAGGAGAGTTAATTCAGAGGACTTGTGGGTACTGACTTGTAACGAAGACGTTGTCGATTCTGAAACAGTGTCGAAAGAGGACTTGTTGCGTTTCTACCTCTACATCAATAGCTTACCTAAAGATTACCCGGATGCACTCTTCCTAATGTATTATGAATACTTGATTTGATTTTATCCATATTATGATTATGATGAAAATCATCATGTACAGGAAACGAAAGCCAGGCCGCAAATGTGAATACAGCCTGGTGCTGGGAAATGTTTCTAGACAACTCTGCATTGCTCTGATAAGATAAAGTTATGGAATTTTAGTCCATGCATATCTATGTCATTGTAGACAATTTATAATGTATATTATAGGGACCCCTTCTTCGAAGTCATCGTAGAGGACCCTTTATTCAAATCCATCTTTTACGTTACTTGTTGGAGCAGGTCTTGAATTCATGATGGTATTAAAACCCAACTTGGGTTGGCTTTTCAGACTAGTGAACCAGTCCCTTAGCTAGCTTGGTTAATAGTTTTGGATGGGTCAACTGGGTTGGATTTTATTTTATTTTTTGAGTGTGAAACGATATTGTTGAGTTTTTTTAAAAAATATGAAATCAATACGTCAAATTTGTGGTTTAATAACTTTTTTTTGTTGTTGATTGAAAAAAAAAAAGAACTCTGTTTTGTTAGATTATGTGTGATTTATGCATAAATATTTTTTTCACTTGTAAATTAATATCTTTTTCATTTAAATCTGACTTTTTTGAGGTTATAATATAGGAATGTTTTGCATACCTTAATTAAACTATATTATTTTACTTATGAGTGAATTGATCTTGGTTTAATGATGGTTGGATCATTAATTCTTGAACTATTGTTTCAACCAATTCAATAATTGATACAGTTTTTAATATCTTGTTCATGTTCAGAAATGAAAATAGGGTGCTTCTTCCTTGCCAATTGTTTTTTTGAAAGAACAACAAGTAAGGATCCTTGAAAAATATCTTAGACATTTCACAACTGAAACATTAAGAATTCATAACTGAAATATTAGGAATTTACAACTTAAAAGTCTTTACTTTGCATTAATTTCCTTGCGGGATCTTCAATTGTCACTCCCTTTTTTTAGGTTTAGTTTTCCAATTAGGAATGGAATGGAGCAACTCTTCCTTTTTAACTGCTAATTTGTTGTTTAACTCACTAATTGATCTTTTTCTGGGTTTAATTTTTATTTTCCCCTCCTTTTGTTAGCCAATGGTACTTCGTTGGTTTAGAATTTTAAAGTGCTTTTAATTAAAAAACTACACATTTTTTCTATATTTATCTTAATTTAGTATGGTGTTTTAATTAGAAATTTTTTTTAATCACACAAGTACACTCCTCAAGTAAGTGCCTTTTTTTGAAAAAAAAATTGTTATTTACATTTTGAAAGATTTAAAATGCCAAATATTTTTAACATGATATTTCATAAAAAAGTATCTTATAATACTGCACCGAGTTTCCATTTCGTAGCCTTACTACAACTTTCTTGGCATAACTATGTGAGAAAATGATAATTAGAAATTCTATAAGAATATTAATGACAATTACATGCACTAAATTATTAAAATATCAATAACAAACCATGGTCCTTATTTATAATAAATTATTTTTTATTGATTGGCTTGAAATTTACAACAAATTTTAATAAATTTTCAACTAAAACTACAAAGTTTCCAACAGTCTTTTGTTGATTTCATAAGGTATAGCAAAAAATCATGAGCAATTGACTTTTGATTTATTTCATAATTGACTTTTGTAAATTATCAATTGATGTTATAAATAATTCTAAGTGTATGTAGTAAATTTTTCAAGTAATTTATTTATATATTAAAAGTAAAAAATATAAATAATTGGCTTATGATTTACAACTAACACTTACAAATTTTTAACTAACATTACAAATAATTTTAAGTATATTTATTTAATTTTTCAAATAATTTATCTGTATATTGACAATAAAAAATTAAAATTATTAATTAATTTTTATAAATTTTCAACTAACATTCAAAATAGTTTCAGTTGTAATTGGTAGATTTTTCAAGATTTTTTTTAATTGTAAGTAAGAATCATGTTTTTTTTTTGGATTTTAATCATTGAAACTCTATAATTATTATTAATATTTCTTATAGGCTCCCTAATTCTTATTTCCCCTAACTATTTCCTGTTTGTGATTTATACATGTAGCATTCATGGAGCCTGAAAATTGTGTTTGAACAGCTCATGCTGACTTCATCGAGAATCTGCTCTTTTATTTTCTTCATTTGTTCACTTCAGATTATATCTTTGGCGAATTCAGAGTCCAGGTGGGTGTCATTATTATATACTCTGTGAGGGACAGTTGAAAATCGAATCTTCTTTTATAAATATTCAAATCTAAACCAGAAATCACATTGAAACATGATATTAAATATAGTAATAATATGTGGCATTGAAGCATTGACGTGGACGGATAAGCCCACAAATTCGGCCAATTTTAGAATGGGCATTACATTTAATGTGGGACGAATTGACGAAATTGGCCGAACATTGCTTCGTTTTGGTTTCAACGTTCAAAGCAATCTTTTGTGCTGTTGACATGATAAACGACAAGTCATTGAATCATTATTCCTAGAGTTGTTTTCGTTGAAGAGGACTGGTCAATTGTGATGCTGAGTTTCTTGCTTTTCAAGTAATTCATTGAGCGTTCAACAAATTTTCGTGGGGATGTTTTGGTTCTATTTATATGGTAAAAAAAAATAGTTAAATTTAATTTCATTTATAAGGCTGTTTATTTTTTTTATATTTTTTTTTTACTTTTGTACACTTATTAAATGTTAAAAAATTATTTAAAAAATCTTTTTTATTCTTATCAAGGATAGAGATGGAAAGTTATTGAATTTTGAAACAGAACTAATGAGATTTAATTTTTTTTTTCAGTAAAATATGAAAGAAGTAATTTAAAAATAAGAATAGAGGAAGCAATTGTTATGTTTGGATGAATTAGTTATTTATTGCAACCATGTTGCTCATTTTTTCAAACTATAATATAAGTCATTGTTAATTAGGTTACATTTCTTATAAAAGTTGGTTAAAATATGGATTTTTTAAAATTTTATATATTTTTTCAATCATGCTCTTGAGTATAATAAATATAAAATTTGATTTATTCAAAAACTTGTATTAATTATTTAATAAAGTAAGGATATAATTGAAAAATATATATAACACCTACCTAATTGCCTATGTTTTGAATAAAGTAAAGCTCTTAGAAAATAACTTATATTATGGTCTGGAGGGAGTAATATAAAGGTTGCTCAGGATTATGAATTTATATTGAAATTTGGTTATGTAATGAATTCACGATGTTTTCACAATTTCATTGGTGTATTAAGTTATTATTGAGGAGATCATTTATTTGACATGAGAAATTGAGGGGAATCAATGATAATTCCTGATATTGCGTGTTAAGCTAAATGCATGAAAAGTTAAAAGAAGGGATTATAAAATAAGATTTGAGTTTTTTCAAGTTTAATTAATTAATTTAGAGGGTCCAAATTCAAATATATATTATTAAAAATGATATTTTTCATATTTTTTTTCATTTTTTATAAATTTATTTTCTATGTGCCAAAACATATCCCGCATATTTTTTGTTTTTGAACAACAATCAATTTGTTAAAATAAAGAGAGAATTACTTTGATGTCACTCATAATACAATTAAATACTACAAAGTCAACTAACAACTTAGTAAAAAAGATTTACTTAATTGTTAATGAATTTTGTAATATTTAAATGTGTTGTGTAGGATTTGTATGTAATTGTTTTAAAATAACACAATTACAATGAAGGAACATGGCCCAGATGATTAACGAACAAATCTCCCAGGCCGAGGCAGAGCCGCAGACACAAACATACCCATTGTTCAAAACTAAGGGAAAGAAAGAAAAGAAAAGAAACAAACCAAAACAAAAAACAAAAAAAAAAAACAAAAACAAAAATGACACAAAAATCAAGCAGACGGAAACATAAGCTAAACAACAAAACACGATGATGGCCTTCAAAACTTCTATGCAAGTTGAGCAGTTGAAGTGTTACACCCCAAATTAATGATATATTTTTTAAATTTTATTAATTATATTTTAAAAGATTTAAAATATCTTATATTTTTTAATATAATATTTTTAAAAAATATCTTATAATATTAACTGAAGTAGTATTTATTGTCAAGTTCTCCAATTAAATAGTGGCGGACGTACATATGGTTGAGGGTGGGCAATTAGCGCCCTCAATTTGAAAAAAATTATAACAAGGAGGTTGGAGTTTTAAATAATGGCAAACTAAAATGTATGAGTTTAAAAATATTGGAGTCTTTTATGTTTCACTTAAGCTTAATAAATTTAAATTTTGAATTCATTATATTTAAATTTAGATTATTTGTGCAAGAATATAATTTTAATTTTCTTTTTTAATATTTTACAAAATTAAAGTCAAACTAAATAATAAATAATCCTAATAAAAATGAAATGTAAAATTTTAAAGCATACAAAAATTAAACGAAGATCAAAAGACAAGAAGATGAAGAGACTCTTTGCTAAGGAACAGAATTTGAGATAAGAGACAGTAAATGGAGTGAAAATGTGAGACTGAGTGTGAGAAATTGAGGACAACCTCCAAAAAATAGGTTGAAGGAGAGGGAGAACTAAAATTTTTGCTATTGTTTAAAGCGATCTCAAGTCTCAATTTTGTAATAACATTCTTCAATGAAATTAATGATACTTGAAAATTAACTCAAAATTTATATCATTGACATGCATAGTAGTGTTAAATTTGCATCTTTGATAAAAGTTTCTAGTCTTGTTGAGAATTAACCACATGTATGTTTCTTTTAGAATGGAAGATGGAGACAAAGAAGCCATTTATTTCACGGTCATACTTGATGATGTGTTTAAGAGATACAAATGTCACTCGTTCATTGGAAAACTGGATATTAAGTAGTGTCTCCTTTTTTAAATATATATACAAAAATTACATTATTTTTTTATAAGAAAAACAATAATTTTCAAAAAATATTTATGAGATATTTCTCTGATTATCTGTTCTTTTTTATTGTAAGGTCTATGGTTGTTATATCCTTGTTCATGCATATAGATGTTTTAAAAAACTAAGTCTTTTACATGTTTGGCTTTCAAATCTCAAATCCTACATGATATTTCTATGTAGATTGATTTTCTCAAAAAAGTTTAATGAAAATTAATTCATTTCCTTGCTCTTGGGACTTTTTATACCAGATTCTGAACCAGTTATTGAACTGTTTCCTTACTTGACTGATGTCAATTTCAAAGTTACATCGTATCTACGTGATCAAAATTATAATAACTTCAGATTTTTGTTGGTTTGTTGTTCAAGTTGCTGATGTTTTATTCTTGTTCTTGTTGTTTCAGTTTTTCTCACTCAAGCCTGTAATGTTGTGTCTGTTTCTTGCATTGGCGTGACTGTAATGCTGTGTCACCCTGGGCTTTTGGAACTTATGTTTTAAAGGCATTTTTTGTTTGTTCTCATTTTATAGTTAATAGTATTTGACTTTGTTTAAAAAAATGACATCTTTCTTCAATTTTCCTTTAAATAATACAACAACAACAACAAGCCTTTATCCCACTAGGTGGGGTTGGCTACATGGATTGCAAGACGTCATTGTGCTCTATCATTTATCAAGCTTTTAGGAATATTATTAATTAAGAGATCGTATTTAACAACTTCCAAGAGTATTCTCTTAGGTCTTCCTCTACCTCTCTTAATCTGACTCAAAGTTATATGTTCCACCCTTCTCACTGGTGCCTCCCTTGGTCTTCTTTGTACATGCCCAAACCATTTCAACCAATTTTCTACTATTTTTTCCTCAATAGGTGCTATCCTCACTTTTTCACGTACGTGCTCATTTCGAATTTTATCTTTACGTGTATGTCCGCACATCCATCGTAACATTCTCATCTCTGCTACTCCAACTTTATGCTCTTACTGTCCCGTTAGAGCCCAGCATTCACTACTATATAACATTGCCGGTCTGATAGCAGTGCGATAAAACTTTTCTTTAAGTTTATTAGGCACCTTACGGTCGCAAATAACTCCTTTAACTTTTCTCCAATTAAACCATCCAACTTGAATTCTATGTGAAATATCATTTTGAATAATGGCTCCCAAATATCTAAACTTTTTCACTTGAGATATAATTTGATCTCCCAATTTCACTTGCAAATTATTATCGAATAGCCCTTTACCAAATTTACAATATAAATATTCCGTCTTACTTCTACTCAGACGAAAATCTTTCGACTCCAATGTCCTCCTCCATAACTCAAGTTTGCAATTAACCTCTTTTCTTGTCTTTGCTATAAGAACTATATCATTCGCGAAGAGCATACATTTAGGAATTTTTCCTTGAATATATTCCATCAAAACATTTAAGATCAAACGTCTATTGTCCATGTTCATGATAGATTCAATAAAGTTTTACATTGGCTGGTGATGGCCTAACACAACCCTCCTCCTTTACCCGGGCTTGGGACCAGCTATAAACGTCTATTATTCTCTTTAAATAATAATATCATTAAATTAAAAAAAATGAAAGATTAAAAATAAAATTATTTTTTTTAATTTTAGATACAATTATTAAAATTAACTAAGGGTTTGTTTGCTTGCTATTTTTAATTTTTTTATTTTAAAAACAGAAAAATTTTAAAACTTGTTTGAATTAATATTTTTGATTTAATTATTTTTAAAACTGTTTTCATTTTTTGTTTTTAAAAACAATAAAAGTTCAAGTTGTTTTCTTTTTTTATTTTAAAAATATACCACATTTAATTATTAAAAATTACAGTTATTTTGATTAATTTTTATACAAAATCATCATTATTAACCATCTATAATTATTACTATTAATCTATTTTTTAATTTTAAAATTATTTTTAAATTAACATAACCAAATGAATTTTTATTATTTTATTTTAAAAACTGTATTATAAAATAATTTTTACAAATAAAAAGGGAGAATAAAAATCAGACAGGTCTTAAATTTCTTAAATTTTTATTTTTTTAAAGGAGGGAACTAATTAAAATTTAAAAAGGCGTCGGCTGAGGGGGAAAAAAAAAAAATTGAAAGGCAAACGACAAATGCAGGGCCTGATCTTGTGGCGCCAAGTGACAACCAACCCAGGGCAACCAAATAACTGAACACGATCTCTCTTTCTTTCTCTATTCAAGAAAAAAGAGAAACGAGGTTCCAAATTTCGATTTACACATTCAGGTACTCAAGTTTGCTTCGCATTCTCTCGGAATTCTCGAATCGGTCACTCTTCGAGCCAGACAATCATTTCTCCAGTTTCGGTAATTTAATGTCTTTGGTCCGTTCAGTTGATAAGTTTATCATCTCTCGGCTTGAGTTTTGGTTTTTAATTGTATCTCTCAATTTCAATATATATGCACACGCGAGCGCACTTACTAGATGCAGATCTGAATCTCGTTTGCGAGGCAGTTCGATCATGATCGTCTGAATGTCTGAGAATCTCGAGCATAAGATAGTGAATCACGAGTCAGGACAGCATTCCGAAGGCTATGAAGCTGCTGGAGGAAGCCAAGAGCAAAATGTAGAGGGGATCTCAAATGAAAATGAATATCTGGCAATGAATCCGGATACTTCTGGAGCATCTGATTTGGGGCATGACCATGCGGCCAAAACTGAAGAACAATCAAATGGAACTATCCAATCCCCACCTGAACCCTCCACTGATAGTAATCAGGTACAGAAGCTATGGAAATTAAATTAGACGGATGCTAATTTTTCATTCAAATATCGAGTAGATAGCCTATCTATTGTGTGTTACATTGTTGAAACTGTTTGGCGCAGATAGAAAGTGTTGATCTGGATAATGCGGCTTTGATAGGTACAGCACGAGAAGATCACGTTGACAAGAGATCTACGGATACTGCAAAAGACGATGCATTTGTTGATTACCCAAACGGGCTTAACACGTACGATGTTAGGAAAATTGATACGAAGGAAGAAGTGGAAGTAGGAGAAGCGAAAGAGAAATCTGAAGCAAATCGGACTCTACAACGGCCGAGTTATTCTGGTGAACTGGGCAATGAGGTAAGAGATGGTTACCTGACACACCAGCAAGAACAGTCGCAGCATTCAATGGTCAAGACCGTTACTGATGAAGATAGTATTGCGCAACAATACAAGGTCCATTGCGTAATATTAATTTTTCTGTTCAAATTCTGTATCGATTAGACAATTAATGTTGTTTGTGATGCAGGAAGAAAGAGAAACTTTAGCCCAAGTTGTGCTCAATCTTCACCGTCAGCTAAAGGCTCTCGCTGGTGAGGAGTCATTGCCAAATGACGCTAATGTTGAAGTTAGGGATCAGGAGGTTCAAATGGCTAATATTCCAACGAAGGAACTGATGAATGAATGCTTGGAGTTTGCTATAACTACTTCTGAAGAACGATCAAACGCTGAGGCTACCATGAGGCACCTTCAATCCCTTCTTTCAATGAAAGATAAAGAGATACTAGATCTTAATACAAAGGTTGCTGTTTCATTAGTATCACAAGATGTCGCTGAATGCGTTGCATCTTCCTTTGACTCAAATGAGAAGAATTCAGAAGTTCAGCTTGAAAAGTATCGTAATATTGAGATTGTGATGGATAAAATAATACTCTCAATTGCAACAGTAGTCAATCAAGAGCAAGTATTGGATGATTCTGTTAGTGGCAAAATAGTTCATATTGAAAAAGGAACTTCTCTTTTGATTGAAAACTATAATCAAATCAAGTCTGAAATTGAACAATTTGCGCAATCGTTCTCTAAGGTAGCATTGGATACAAGGGAGAACTGTGCTAACAACATCCTTGTCGCTGCTTGTGATGAATTACTAGGGCTCAAGAGAAAGGAAGCAGAACTCGTTGAAAAAGTAGCTCATTTAGATGATGAAAATCAGGAAATGGTGGAAGAACTTGATAAGGTGAGGGCACTGACAAGGACGTTGAATGCAGAACTTGAGAATATGAAAACGGAACTCGAGCAGTATAAGGTTAATTATGCCAACACCAAAGAAAAGCTTAGTAAGGCAGTGGGAAAAGGAAAGGCATTGATACTGAAGCGTGAGACATTAAAGCAGTCTCTTGTTGCTAAATCCACTGAGCTTGAGGCCTGTTTGATGGAGTTGAAAGAGAAGTCAGATATGCTAGAAGCTGCTGAAATTACAAAAGAGGAGTTAGTCCGGAGTGAAAATATGATTGCATTCCTGAAGAATTCCTTAGAACAAAGTAATACATTTTTTGAAAAAGCAAAAGAAATCTTGTCAGAAACTGAACCTGATAAACCTGAATTGTCAGATGAGCAGGAGAGATTAAGATGGCTTGTGGATGATAGAAATATGCTCAAGGATGCATTCCTAGAGTTCGAAAAATTGCAGGATGCTCTATCTTTGATGGACATGCCAGAACCTGTCTCATCATCAAATTTAGAATCTCAAATAAATTGGCTCAGTGGCTTTTTTCGAAGTGCCAGGGATGATATGAATGTTTTGCATGAAGAAATTTCTACGATTAAGGGATCAGCCCAAGACTGTATAGACCACTTAAGTCTATCACTTTTGATGGGATTCCAGGAAAAATATTACCTTCAAGCCGAATTGGCTAATTTGAGGGACAAATATGGGGAGATTTTTCAAAAGAGTCTTCAGATTTCACAAGAGAAGGATTATATTGTGAAAACCTTAGTTGAGCTCTCCAACATTAACATGGCAGATAATAATATTGACCTATTTTCTTCTGATACATTTGCGATCATTAACCTCTGCTTCCAAATGATAAAACAACATAGAGGTCCGTCCCCTGAAATGCTAGAAAGAATTAAAAGTCTCTTGTATCTTAAAGACAGTGAATTAACACTCTATGGGGATGTACTAGAAGACGAGATTCTGATTAGATCTGAGATGAATAAGCTGTCAAATGAGTTGAAAGTGGCACGTGAGGAAATTCTAAGATTGAAAGAAGAGAAGGGCTCCCTACAGAAAGATCTTGGACGATCTGAGGAGAAGGCAGCTCTGCTTAGGGATAAATTATCCATGGCAGTTAACAAAGGCAAAGGGTTAGTTCAAGACAGGGACAACCTAAAAAGTTTTCTAGATGAAAAGACCTTGGGGATTGAGCAGTTAAAGCTTGATATTCAAAATCAAGAATCTGTAATTTCCAATTACAGGGAACAGATTAATAGATTATCTCAGGAGTTGGAAAGCATTCCAAAGCTGAAGTCTGATCTTCTGTCAATGGAAAATGAAAGGAATCAATTTGAGCAGTTCTTGTTAGAGAGAAATAACCTGTTACAGAGACTGGCAGAGTCGATAAATGGTATAGTTCTTCCAGTTGATTTAGTATTTGAAAAACCTGTGCAAAAGGTGAGGTGGCTTGCTGGTTATGTCAGTGAATGTTTGAATGCCAAACTACTTGCAGAGAAAGAGTTGCAGCTAGTAAAGGAGGGAGCCAGTGTTTCTGAAAGAATATCAGCTGAAGCCCAGGAAAATGTTAAATCCATGGAGAAAGCATTATCTTCTTCAGAGAATAGTATTTTTCAACTTGCTGAAGAAAAGAGGGAATTAGAAGTTGAGAAAATGAACGTTCAGGAGGAATTACAGAAAGTGAAAGAAGAAGCTGCTGAGGTTTGCATGAGTGTGATATCACTTAAAGATACATTATTACAGACAGAAAATTCTATTTATATTCTCTCCAATGAAAAGGAGCAGGATCAAGACAATAGGGAAGCTGTAGATACGGACTTAGAGAGAGTTAAAGAAGAAGCTACACCACAAACATGTAAACTAGCGGATGCCAGGAAAAATATAGAGGATATAGAAAATGCACTATCTGGGGTTAAGAGTGATGTTATTTTGTTGACCGGAAAACATAATAATGATCAAATTATCAAGACCAACATGGAAAATGAGTTGGAAAAATGGCAAGATGAAGCTGATTATCAGGCTCGGAAATTGAAGGATTCATCTGAAACTATCAAATCCTTGAACGATGCATTGCTGAAAGCACAAGATGATATTTCTATCCTTGAAGATGCAAATAAACTTGCTAAAGAGGAGATATCAACACTCCAACTCAAGTTAAATTCATGCCTTGATGAGTTAGCTGGTAAGGGCCGCAGCTTTCATAATGAATCTGTTGAGCTCATTGGATTCCTCAACGATTTACAAGTTCTTATTAAAGAGGATACTTTATCTCCCAGAGTAAAACAAAGTCTGGAAAAGAAATTTGAGAGCCTGAAGACCATGGATCTCCTTATTGAAAATACCAGGGACCGTATTTATGACATGACTGGCATGGAACCTAAAAGACATCTTACTCTAGACGTAATAGTGACTTTACCTTTTCTTTATTATTTCTTATTGTTTCTCTCAAGCGACAATCTTTTGACTTGCACACGTATGCCCCCATAGGCTGTGTGTTTTATTTGAAATTAAATGTCTTAGCCCTTAAAATATCTTATATATCTTTTTTCCTTTTTATTTTAGATTTTCTCTCCATTGGTTAACTTATTGACTATTATTAACCGAATGCCATTTTTGTTATTTTCTTTTCTAAATATGTATTTTATAATTTTTTACCCCAGGAAGATTTGCTTGTGAGAAAAGATTTGTCCAATGGCATTGAAAGGTTTGACGACAAATCTGAAAACAGTGAGATAAATGATGCTGATATTGATGGTATAATTTCGTTATTTGGAAAACTAGTGAAAGAGTTTCAGGTGAGAAACAAACTCATTGCTGAAAAGTTTGATGCTTTCTCTGTTTGTATCGACGAGTTAGTCACTCTTCTTTCAGCAAAACTACAAGAACTAAAGACTGATGTGGAAACTACCTTTAAGTACATGGAAACTCTGAAAGAAAAAGCAAATACCATGGAAATATTAAGAGATAAGAAGGAAAAAACTATTGACACTTTAGAGAATGATATTGAAATTTTGATGTCTGCGTGCATTGATTCAACCAGAGAACTTCAGATAGAAATTGAAAGGCATGTTATGGAATCAGATTCCAATTTTGAGGTGGAAAAATTTAAAAATGAAAAAGATGTACAAGAAAGCAATCAGCAGAACAACAAATATATGGAAGCAGCACAAAAGTTGATAAATGCTACTAGAATAACTCAAACTTTTTTGAAACAATTTGAACTAAGAAGCAAGGAGGTAGCTGCTACAGTAGAAGATCTGCAGAATAGGTTGAATGGAACAAGAGTTGATTTGGATATGGTCGTTGAAGAAAGAGATCTTAATCAAAATAGATCTGTACAACTAGAGTCTGATATACAAGTACTACGAAGTTCAAGCAGGGAGCTTAGAAATGATTTAGCGGATTATCATGCCTTACAAGACAAGTTAAAAGAAAAAGAGACAGAAATTTTATCATTGCATAGTACTTTATCAGCAAAAGAACAAGGTAAATGTTGGAATCTTTCTTGACTTAAATATTGGCTTTTTTTTTCATTGCTCGTATATGATATGATGTCTTTTTTCAGGGACAGAGAGATCTCTCCTTTCCACATCTGAGGTTAGGGCCCTTTCTGGCGAGATAGATAAGATTGAAATACCTGTCATGGAGTCAGAAGAAGATATGGAGTCCCATACTTCAGCCACTGTAGAGAAGCTTTTTCACATCATTGATTTTGTTACTAGTTTGGAGCAACATATGAATTCTTTGTCTCGTGACAAAGAAGAGCTGCATTTAACCATTGACAAAAAAGTTCTTGAAGTTAAGCGTCTGAAGGCGGAACTCAACCAACTTAATAGAGATTGGGAAGATTCCAAAAATGGGAAGAATGATGACTCTGAGCTTACCTTTTCTTTGGAGAAAATACTAGATATGTTGGGAGGCAGTGATTGGAACGAAGACAAAAAGTCCGCAGGTGTGAAGGGACTAATGACAGTACTGGACAAGCAGGTTGCGACTATTCTTCTAGTATCTGAAAAATTAAAAGCTAGAGACCAGGAACTGAGTAGTAAGTTGCTTGGTAGCCAGAAGGTCATTGATGAATTAACGACCAAGGTCAAGTTACTTGAACATTCACTTCAAAATGGGACTTCTCAGCCAGAGATTCATCAAGAAAGGAGCGTATTTGAAGTAGCCTCATTACCCGTTGCATCTGAGATATCTGAAATTGAAAAGGTGGTTAAAGTTATGCTTCATAATCATGTTAACAGAGTCCATTCTCAAATGTTAATGTTGACATAATTGGATTATACTGTATATCATCCCCATCTAAGTTTGACTCCAATGTCAACTTGAATAGTTGGAACTGACACATATGAATTATATTCTTAAAAATCCATATACTATGTTAATACATGGGTCTATATCTACTATTCTTCTTGTTTCTCCATTTTCTATTTGATGTTCCTTCATCTGATTAGCTTTGACTGCTTACTGCATCCATACGAGTTTTTTGGGAAGAAATACAATGCCTGATGCTTTGTCTAGAAAGATTTTTTTTCATTGCATTTGAGACCTATTTCATAGAACACTGAATTCTTAACATCATACCACTGAAAAGCTCCTCTATACAGTAGAGTAAGCAGGAGGGATATTCAATTAAACTCACATCATTTGAAGTTTTCATCTATATCAAATCGGATTCTATGTTGGCTGAAGATGCATAATTTTTGTCTCTGGGCTAGTTGCCGATTGACTATCATCCCATGTATCAATATTTGATGTCTAAAAAGGTGGTTTGGTGGAAGTTAGTCTATGAAGTTGCATGTGTAAAAATTTTGTTTCCTTTTACAGGGATCCCTTGGAATGAAAGCAAAATCTTCTATCCCACCGGCTTCTCACATGCTAAATATGCGAAAAGGGTCTACTGACCATCTTGCAGTTGATATTGATTCAGAATCTAATAGCTTAATCAAAGAAGCTAATATTGATGATAAAGGTAATTATGAGATTCCAATTACTCAAATATGCTTCATATATTACAACAAAAATTGAAAGACTTAACTCTAGATTGTTGTACAGGGCATCTATTCAAGTCTCTCAACACAACTGGATTTGTACCCAAACGAGGAAAGTTAATTGCAGATCGTTTGGATGGAATCTGGTAAGTGTTTCTCTAGTCGTTTGTCTCACGAACTGTTGATTCTCTCCAATCATGAGCGATGAAACTTGAAATGCAAATGTAAAATCTCAAGTCTCAAATGCAGTACTTCCCAATAATTAACTTGTTTCTGCAGGGTATCTAGTGGTCAGGCTCTCATGAGTCGTCCCAGAGCAAGGTTAGGAGTTATTGGTTATTTGTTCATCTTGCATGTATGGCTATTGGGAACGATCTTGTAGTTGTAGAGGAAGTTGTCATCATCATCATCATCCATCTCAGCAGCTAGGTTGCATAGATACAGGTACGAGTATCCGATACGATACAGCATGATACGGGGATACGGCAAATTTTCAAAATTTTAGGATACGGGTACAGGGATATTTATAATGTATATTTCAACATTTTATGATATAAGTATAGGTATTTTGATTTTTAAACAAGAATTTCTATAGTAATATAAAGATATTTATAGTAATTAACTAAAATATTAAGTATTTTTCCAAGTTTTTAAGTGATATAGTAAGAAGTTATTGAAAAAAAATCATATCACAAATGTTAGAATCTGGGATACGTATGCAGAAGTATCCTACAAGTATCGTATCGGATACGTATCGGATACGGGTACGTTTACTTTTTTGAAGTATCCGTGCTAAATAGTCAGCAGTGCAACACTATATACCTAACCAGAGCTGTCTACTTGTCATGACTCCCTTGCTTTGCAATTCAACAGTGACATTTCAATTCTGAATTTTCAAATTGTATATATATCATGAAACATTGATGCTTCAAAAGATCGTAATTTGTTTGTAATTTTTTATAGTCACTATCCCATTTTGTTCTCTACATTGGCATTTTATGGGTTCAAAGAATGCAGTTTTTTATGTGTTTGGGGATATTTTAGAGACTAGTTTAATTCATGATAGAAGATGATGATACAATCTTATTGACAATGCTTCTCTTTTATCTATACTCCTCGTGTAGGATCTTTTTTAGTTCGTTTTCTGTGCATGTTATCAGATATTTGTGTTTACCAATATTTTGGATCACTAAATTAGTTTTGTTCATGTGGATATTGTGATGCTGTGGACACTGTACTTTAAGCATAGGAAAGGATCAATCTGCAAATAATTGCTTCTGGGGGAAGTACTTGGTTCAAAACTACAATGCTTCATTGCAACAGTACAACATCAATCCTTTGTTATTTATCTATTCTTGAATTGAATGAGTGCCATTAAATATGAGAGAGAGAGAGAGAGAGAGAGAGAGAGAGAGAACTGGCATGATTACAACTATACATAATATAAAAGTTTTATAGTTGTAGGACATGAACAGTTTTAACAATTTTTATCATATAGGATTCACACTAGCTGTAAATTATAAATTAAAGAACCTAGAGTTATATATGACACATTTGTAAATAATAGATCATTAAAGTTACCAGAGCAAGACAATACAAATCAAATCTCTTGGATTGAGTGGTATTTACAACAATCAAATGGAATCTCTTGGTTTTTGCTAAAAAAAAAAAGGAATAATCTCTTGGTTAGGGCTATATGTAAGGGTGAAAATAGGCTGGGTCAAGTCAGGCTTTGAATAAATAGGCCTAAGCCTTTATGATAAGTTAGAGACCTAAGCCTAACCTGAAGTCTATATAAAGCTTTTTTTATGATTCAAGCTTGAGTCTATTTAAAACTTGACCTGATTTAAAAGCTTATTTAAAAGCTTACTTTAGGCTTGCATAAAAAGCTTTAAAAGTCTCACAAATTTTAGCCTTTTTAGGATTATTTAAAACCTACATATGTACAACTTAATTTACTAACTAAAATATATAATAGGAAGAAGACTTATCGATTACAATACAATACAACGATATGGTAATAACATTGACATCAATACATGCATCAGTTTAATCTAATTGAAAACATAATTGAGAAACTATAAATGAAAAGGAATATATTTATTAAAAAATTAAATGGTGATCAAACTAGCATATAATAAATTCATCCTGTAAAAGATAATAAAAAAGAACATAGGCAAGGAAGAAATGTCTAGTGCTTTTGAGTTTGATCTCGAAGAACGAGAAGGGCTTGAAGAAAAGGGGATAGATAGAGTTGACTATATCTAAATTTCTAAATTAAATATTATATATTACATATTATATATAGGTAATATATTATATAATAATATATATGTAAATAGGCTGGCCTATAAGATTCATAGGCTAGGCCTAGTAAAAATAGACCTAGCCTGGCCTAAAATAGGCTAGCCTGTATATCAAGGGCTTAGCCCATTTCTACTCCTAGCTATATGCAATTATCAATTCGCATGCAACCTATTGAATAATTAAATTTTCTTAATACAACTCTATTTTGAGGTCTCTTACCTATTGATTTATGGAGTACCCATGCCAGAATAACCTGAACAACATTTTTGAAAAACTAATAAAAATTAGAGCTAATTATTTTTCCTTTAGAAAAGAAATTACCTTCAATAGAATAATCTATTTCTTAACTAAACACACGTAGAAACTAGAAACCTTCATGAGGGGAAGAGGGGGTTTTAATTTTTAAATGCCATCAAATTATAGGACACAACTATTCTCATACTGTGGTGTGTTGATATATTATTAAAATTAATATAATAATTACACATTGAATGAATTATTGACATAAGAAATACCTTTAAACTAGAATGTTGACATGTGCACTGCAAAGAATATAATTTAAACTAAGAAAAAACTTAGGGAAAATAATAATTAAGGATTCCCTAAGGACATTAATCCCAATTAGGGACCACAAAATTTTGAAATCCCATTTATGGTCCTTAATTAGGATAAAAATATATCTAACTTCATAAAATTGCCCCTTCACTAAATACTAAAAGGTAATAGCAAAACAGGTTATGTTGTGTACTCTATTCTTATTTTTGAGTGCAAAAAATCTACTCTCATGTGCTTTTGTGTGCGAAAAATTTGGGCGAAAAATTAATCGAGTGGATCATCATCTTTTCCTTTCTTGGTAATAGGTAATTACATGCATTGCTTCTTTTACATCTTCTCCTCTATCATGCATGCAAGAAAAATCTACAGTTTCCTCTTCTTTATCTTTACATCCCCTTTGTCATGCATGCACAAAAGAATTTTTATATCTTTGTAAATGCTGTCTTACACCATTTCTCTTTTATAGTTAAAAATAAGTAATTTTTTTGATGATTAATAGATTATATATATAGACACACACAAATGATTTTTGAGAATAATAATGTTAAAAAAATTGAGTAAAAAGCAAGAAAGATGTAACAAGGATGCTAAATTTTTTTGTTTTGTAATAAAAAATGCATTAATGTTGAAAAATGCAACATGGATGTTGAATTGTTGTAGTCATAGTTGGGATTATAGGAAGGATAGTTGTGAAGTAATAAATTTGTATGTTGTTTCTAGTTGTTTCAGATTTATTTCTCATATGGTAAGCACTTCAACAAAAGAAGTATTTTGTTATTTTCACATTAAAGAACATTTTGTAAAAGATTCACAAGGGAGAATGACCTATAAAAGTGGGAGATTAATTTCTAATTAGATTAGTAAAGGCATAAATTGTGAAGAGCTATTGAAGATGATGTCATCAGTGATAAGAGTTGAAAGTATTGCAATTGACTTAAAATTTACAGTGAAGTTTAATGCAAACACATACATAGATCTATTAGACGATGAGGGAGTACAACATTTGATAAAGTATAATGATGAGTCAGTACAACTTTATGTTGAGAGAAATGATAATGAAATACATGGAGCAATATATTATTCAATGGAGGAAGTTGTTGTTCTTAATTATTAGTGATTTTAATTAGTTTAATCACCATTTATATTGACCTGTGAGTACTTGTAAATGCAAGATTGAGGATTTCTTACCACTGTTAGGATCTTCCGTAACACTTACCCCGAGTGTTATCCAAAAATCACATAATTCAAATAAACTAAGTGTGGTTAAGTAGTTGATCCTCTAACCAACTTGAGAAATAAATCATTTAAAACCTTAAAAAATTATAAGTTCTACCTATAGCGCACCGAAGCAAGTTAGACAAAAGTGGAATAAAAAGATGCTGTCATGACAGCATTAAATTGCTGTCATGACAGCCCTCCCGGGCCAATTTTCGGGAGACGTCATTCCGTTATTCGATCTTCGATCGAAGTGATTTTAAAGTTCACACGTTACATTCAAAGGGTACTATAAGTGTACTGAATTTCAAAAAGATCCAACGGTCGGATTAAAAATTAGACATGTTAAAAGATTAATTATTTTTGCTGTCATGACAGCTAAAAAGCTGTCATGACAGCACCTCCGGACTACTGGGGTGCACCATTTCATCATCCGACCTCCGATCGGAGCGATTTCAAAGCCCACATGTCACTTTTAAATAGTACTATTAAAATATCAAATTTTGAAAAGATCCAACAGATAGATTAAATTTCGTGTATGTTGCAACATTAACATATATTGCTGTCATGACAGCACCTCCAAACCAAATTCTAGAGTGCGCTGTTTCTCCATTCGATATCTAATCGAAGTGATTCCAAAGCCCACACGAAGCTTATAAAAGGTTTTACTTGTGACCCAAATTTTAGAGAAATCCAACGGTCGGATTAAGATTTGGACACCTGGATGCAAAAGTGCAGGTTTTTGGTAAAAACCATTTTCAAAATTGTCCAAATCTTATCCTAATGGTCACAAACTTGTGGGAACATTTTGGACATGTCAAATAGGACTAAAAACACCTGATAGAACATTTAAATGGTAGAAAAACCCTTTATACCAAAATTTGACCACTCAGGTGCCATTTCCCAAAATGGACCCTAAACCCCCAAAATGCACAAATCACACAAGAGTAATTAAAAACTATTCCAAATATCATATACACATATGAATATACACGCTAAACATTTTCACTTGGCTCAGAGATCTTTGTGGGGCCCACGCACCCACTCTCTATATCCAAGATATATGTTTGCCCATAACACACCATTTGCAATGCAATCACTTTGCATTTGCTTGTAGAATCACATATATATCAAAATAAATATTTTTTTACAGTGAAAACTTGATCTACTAAATAAATTCATCAAAACCACATACCATAGCCAAGTTTCCTAGCCACAAGTCTACAAGTAATTAAAAATTTATACACAAGCCATACAATCCACACATACTCACGCACATATACATAATCATATCTTACTAGCACCCTAATCCTAAATATATTACAATATATTTGTTCAAAAGAAAGGGGTTGCAGTTCTTTACAATTCACAAATAACCCCTAGCTCTGCTCCTTTTCCCGTCCTCCACTGGTTCCTTCGCCTGGACCTAGAATATTGAAAAGAAAGGGGTGAGACAACTATAGTCTCAGTAACAGAGAAATCTACATTGATTATTACAAAGCAAGCCATAATCAAATAAGCGAATAATAAATTCAACATAGTATATAATTTAGCCATTTAAAATGCATGAATGCATGATCTAAGCCGGTATGGCCTTTCATGACCAACAGAATGCCCCCTGGTTCTCTTTAACTTGCAGGTAAACTTTATACCTACTTGTACCTCCACAGGCACAAAACATAATCTAAGGCATGATCTAATTCACCGAACCGCCTATGCCCCTTCGACGTGAATCCTGAGCAGTCAAAGCTAACTCCCTTCCAGAGCTAGCCCGACTTACTCTCCATGTGAGGGCTACCTTGACCTAGGCACTCAACCTCACACTTCATATGTTGGATTCCCTCCCCTACTGAGAGGTGTCGAACACTCAATACACTAACCACTTTAGTGCACTGAGCCCATAATACGT